CTTGTATGAATGATCCGCCTCTTGAGCCAAATATTTCGTCGTTGCTGAAAGCAGAGCAATTATTCATGTTTGTGACTTTCAAATTCGACCCAAACAATCACTTTTTTGGCAATTTTCAACTAACGATTTTGTTGGCCCAAGCAAGGCTTGTTTATAAGTTTAAAACAACACATCCTCGAGTAAGCCACCTAAAATGTCTAGAATTCATATCCTAAAGTCTTCATTTAAGACACCGAAAATGCCTTAAACTGGAGACGCAAACGTCTGAAAAAAAAGACAAAGCTCCCCGAATTACTGCACCGGAATAACCAATAATTTTAATTGTTTCGTCCTCCCAATTCACTAAATGTCAGTTAACAATGCGACAGGCTGACAAGACGTGCAGACGTCCTTGTTGAAGCAAGACTGGCTCTAAAAATACTAATGACACTGAGGAAAACAGAAGATGGGAAAAATCTTCTCTCAATCATTCGGTGATTCGTTGTTGAATGTCAACGAATGGCCTCGGCAATAACGTTGAAGTAAAACAGGCAATAACCGAGAATAATCGAGTGGCACAATCTGCCCAAAAGTGTCTCACTCGCCAAACAGTCACGCGACTGCCACTCCTTGATGTTCAAAGACGCTGACTCCATTAGCGAAAATAGATGTCTCTTTGAGTACAGACGATACATTCCGAATCAACAGTGAGTCATTTCGGGTGAGAAATGAGAGGAAAATAGTGGAAAAATAGATGTTTCGAGGGGGCATGAATGTCAGAGTGTCTGCCGCTGCGCCTCCAACTGCCTCAAGGCTCGCTACGTGCCCTCGCCTCTAGTTCCACTTGAAATATTGACGTTGACGGCTGGGGGGTATATGCACTGCTGCACGTGGTTTATTCAAAGAACCCACGATTGTTTACTCGAGAATTACAGTATTTGAAGTTGGGGACAACTTTGATTCGATGATTGTAGAAAAACACTTGTAAAAGTATTAGAAATGTGGTTAATTTGTCGAATTGGCAAACAGGCTTGTTCATTGTTCAGTTATCTCGGGATGTAGTTGGTTCGAAAGGAAATGTTTAGCTACTTCCTGGGCGTTCGAACGTTAACTGAAGTCGTTAGAGTATTAGTATTCGTAAACATGTCCTGGAACGTACCTTAAGGATATGCAAGTCCTCGGGCTGTTTTTCTCTTTCCTTGAAATGATTTTATGACTTTTTTATTATTTCCGTTTTTGCAACGGTTTCAGTACTTGAACTTCGAAGAACTGTACTTAAATCTTCATTTCACCCTTGGGAGAATTTTTTTGAGAAATGGAAATAACAATTCGGGAAAAAATTGGAAAGTCGTCATTTTTGAAGATGAAAACATAATTTTTGGACGAAATCTGCAAATTTTTTTGACATTCGCTTGAGCCATTCACATTTCATCTGCAAACTCCAATGAATTATGGCCATTTTGTGAAAAATCTAGTCTCCATTTACTTCCCAAAGAGTTGAGGAGTACAATCCCTAGCACCTTAAGGATATGCAAGTACTCTGACAATTGTTTTCCTCCTTGAAATAATTTCATGACTTTTTTATTACTTCCGGTTTGGCAATGGTTTCAATACTTGAACTTCGAAGAGCAATATTTAAATCTCCATTTCACCCTTACGAAAAATATTTTAAAAAAATGAAAATAAAAATTCGTGAAATAATTGAAAAATTGTAATTTTTGAAGGTTAACACAATTTTTTTTAAATCCATAAAAAAATTCTATTGGTATTCGCTAGAATCATCCACTGATTTCATAACTTGAACTTCGGAGAACTATATTTACATCTCCACTTTCCCTTAGGAAAAATATTTGTAAAAAATGAAAATAAAAATTCGTTAAATAATTGAAAAAATTATAATTTTCGAAGATCAACCCAATTTTTTAAGAAATGAGTAAAAAAATTCTATTGGCATTCGCTAGAACCATTCACTGATTTCCTAACTTGAACTTCCAAGAACTATATTTACATCTCCACTTCCCCCAGGAAAACTATCTTTAAAAAACGAAAATAAAAAATTCGCTAAATAATTGAAAAATACTAATTCTTGAAGAAATCCATAAAAAATTGCGATTCGCTCGAACCATTCACTGATTTCATCTGCAAGCTACCCACTCTCGACACCCAACGACTCAACAACATCTAAACCCAATGAATTACGACCACTTCATAAAAACTGTAGCCTCCATTCCCTCCCCATTGCACAACCCCATAATTAAGGACAAAGCCCTCACCTATGAAGTCACAGCCCGCACAATCCATCGACATTGCACTTGAACTGCATTTGAAATACCACAGGAAACGCCTTCGCGATGATAAATTTATCGTTCCGTCACACCCAATCCCACGGCGAAACAACTCCTTTGTGCAGCAGACAGTGCAGGACGAATAAATAAACTCCATTTGCTCAATTCTCCCTTCAATCTCGCCTGGAGTTATTAAAAAACCTCGGTACAAAGGCGTTGATTAAAAGCCAGTCTTTTTATCTCTTAAAAATTCTCCACAAAAGCTCAAGGTCTCATCACCAAGGCCTCGAGCTGTCGCCCTGGTGACGGTTTATGTTCGGTTTATCCCAGTGCTGCTAGTGCGCCCCACGAAATCAAGGATTCAATTTAATCGCCTTGGATATCATCGTGTTCTCATCACTCTCCCCCTCTCCGGGATTTATTTATTATCCTGAAGAGTTTCTCTCCCCCTCAAACAGCATCAGCATTAATATTCATTAGAACGAGAGGAAATAAATATTCAGACCTTGACGTGATGTTGCACCGGGTCAAGGTCAGCCAGGAGAACAATTTCACTGGGGAATATTAGAGGCGAATGCATGCCATTGAATTGGGTCAACTAATCAGGCAGTCTCACTGAGGAAGCCACAAACATCAAGGGACAATCGTCCCAGTTATTGGAATGCATGGGTTTACTGGAGCAATAACGGATCCAACAACACTATCGCCAACATTCGAGGAAGCCAACGTCTATTCCAATGTCGGTGGCGACAGGTTCTCAACAAAATCCAAGTCAGTGGGTTCCAACCATTTGACCAGAAAGTACCGTAAATCCATACGATACTAGATAACACGAGCCATTCCACTGTGTCTAGACGTTTGTAGCTTGAATTTACTGGGTGTAACCGTGAAATTTTATGTTGGATGAACGTTTTTCTTGAGATAGAATTTTACCGATGCACGAGTTTTTTAGGTTTACTGGATTTTAGTGGTTATTTTATTGAGGTTTTTAAATGAAAATTCGTGATTGAAGGAACGTGAGAATGAGAATTATTTTGTTTAATTAATATTCTAATTAATTAGGAAATTATTTTAATGAATTGTAAAATTTACGTGGAATTAAATTTTACTGTTGTACTCATTTTTGAGTTTCAATGAATTTTAGTTTCTTTTTGAAGGAGTGAATAGTCACGTGGGAATGAGAATGATTTTACTTGATTGATATTTTAATGAGTTATGGATCTGTAGAAAATGCGGTGTATGAAGATATATCTGGTCTTCTATTTTCAAAGGAACAAGGAAGGAGGAATCGTAAAATTTAATGTGGGATGACATGTTCAACTGATGATTCACTAGTTTTTCATTTTATTCTTCTTTGTATTAAATTTTTCAAGAAATAAAGTCACATTTCAGTAGCGAAGCGCTAAACCGGGTTAAGTCGATTTTGACTTTTCATCAGTTTTTGACTGATATCTCGGAACCTAAGAGAGATAGCGAAATTTTGCTCATGACCTTTTTTATAACACTTAATTGCATATACAAAAAAGGTTATGACCAAACTTTTTCTATCCCTTTTAGATTCCGAGATATTCGTCAAAAACTGGCCACTTGTCAAAATCGACTTAACCCGGTTTACCGCTTCGCTACTGATTTCACAAAGTAAATCACAAATTGAGGAATTTTTTCTCCGTGGATACGAGATACCACGAGCCATTCCAATGTGCCTCGACGATTGCGGGTTGAATTTACTGGATGTAACCGTGAAATTATATGAATAAAATTTTACTATTCATTTTATTGAGTTTTAAAAATAAAAATTCATCATTGAAGCAATGAATTATCATATGGGATTGCGGATTATTTCATCCAATTAACAGTTTAATGAATTATGAATCTTCAGAACATGTGGTGTACGAAGATATATCGCTGGCCGTATATTTTTAAAGAAACAAGGAAGAATTGTAATCATGAAATTTTATGTTGGATGACATTTTCAACGGCCGATTCACTAGTTCTTTAGTTCTACTGGATTTTAGTTTTCATTTTATGAAATTTTTTCAACATACCAATGAAAACTTTCTCATTTAATTAATACCCCAATAAATTATGAACATTTAGAAAATATAGCACGTGAAAATAAATGAAGAAAATGAAGAAATTTCAACTGTTTAATATTTTATTTTTATGAAGCGTTATACCCCTCCCAAGTTTCCGCCTTTTCGGAAATTTTCTCAGGTTAAAAACGACTATAACTACGCAACTAACGCATTTCAATAATAAAAAATCGTTATTTGCAATATTTCTGTTCATTCAAACAATATTTTTCTGTTGGAAATCAATGAATTCATATAGTCACACGTCTAAACAGTATCAGATAAATTATTCATTCATTCCAAATGAAGGATTATTACACGTTATTAAATCCCCTTCCGTTAACAACCGGATCAAGCAAACACTTGTTTACAATAGAAAAATTATCCATTTCAAGGGAATAAAAACGCGAATAATAATCAAATTTAGGTTCAAAAAAACCTTCATTAGGAGTTTGAAATTAATCATTGTTAATTATTTATCTGGGTGCAGTACATCACACCAAAAAAACAAATTTCCATATCGAAAAAGTCCTCTGCATACATAAAAAAATAATAATAATGGCAACGAAATGTGTCAATCCTTTTAAGGTCCGCATCCCGTTTTCCTGCGTGCTCTTTTTTGAAGAAACATAAATGTTAACAATCTGTACCGTGTGTGTTACAGGCACGAGGCCAGAGACATCGTTCGCCATGCAGTGGGGGCAGGGGAGCAGGACGCTGTACTCTTTACGGGTCACGGTACCGACGATGCCCTGCGCACTCTTCTTCATCATCTTGACCTCCCTGGGAGGCCGATGATCGTGTTTGTCGGGCCATTCGAACACCACGCCAACTTGCGACCCTGGCGAGAGCACGACACCAAGGTACATCATTTTTATTTACTCCCGGTATAATTTTTCACTCGGAGCGTAACAAGGCAGCGAGTTATTTCAAACAGCAGGAATGACTCCCAATGAAAGTCGTTTGCGTTTCAAGAACGAGGGTTAAATTAAAATCAAGTTGTTTGTTTGTTTGCGTGGAATGCATTTCCGCTTTTTATTTCGCGGTAATAGAGAAATTAATTTTACGAGATGAAGAGTTCTTCCACGTGGAAGGTGATGACGTCGACTTGTCGAACAGGAATTCGTTGTGAACTGTTTTTTGTCGATTTGATCTTGTAAATGATCGAATCGACTCCCCTGATACATCAAATGTAACACATTTGCGCAAGACAATTGTGGGTCATTCATGCTCGTCCGTAGCCAGATAGTAAAAGTCAAAGTCCTATGGATGACAGCCAAAAGTTTTTTTGGATTCAAACTTTAAGAGGGAGGGAGATGGAATCATCGGGCTTGATACCAAGCCAGGGAGCACAATCGCTTCGACACCAATTTTTGGCCGATGTCCAGGTGGTTCCTCTCTGAATTCCTTCGACCAAAGCAACATATCGAAAGGGCGACAGGAAAGATTGTGTTTTAGACGTACACTGAGAGAATATAAAAGTAAAAATTGCTACGGGATTGTAATAGTCGAGGACTGTACCGGAAAGACTTAAAAATTTTGTTCATTTCAACCGAACTTTTGCGATGTGGAATTCATTTTTTACGATTTAACATAGTGATTTTATATTCTTTTCGTATACGAAAAAATTTCCCCGAAAAATCCATTAAATTTTGTAGGAAATTCCATTGGATTTCTATTAGTTTCTTCAATTTTTCCGATTCTATGGAAAAATTCCGCGGCTTATCTGCGCTTTCGTTCAGTGGAATTGTTCAATGGAAAATATTCTTGATAATTAACAGAATTTTGAATGGAAGTTCAATAAAATGAATAAATAAATGTTTACAATTCAGCTATTTCATGTTTGGATGACAGATAGTCTTTAACTGATGCGACATTTTACATTTTTCGCATTCTTTAGAGCTTCAGAGTCACCAAGATAACATTTGTCGAGAAAATTCTGGAATTATCAAAGCGCGAAGAAGTAGAATCGCGGAAAAAGCGGATAAAATCCGGTTCTGTGACGTCTGGATCTTCATTGATTCGAATCACTAATCTTCAACAATCGATTCTGATAGTAGAGCTCAACCGTAGCGTTACGCAACTCGGATAAATACCGACGAGAGTGGATTTATTATCCTTGGCATTAAGTGCCTTTCACTCCTGATTGTTAAATTGTTGGTTGTTGGATCGTTGAAGGTGGTGAGAATCGCCGAAACCAGGGAGGGGTTCTTGGACTTGAATGACCTTGAGAAGAAACTGCAAGAGGCGAGGAGTTTTGAGGGGATTATGGTTGGATGCTTCAGTGCCGCTAGTTGCATTACTGGGGTGCTTGCTGACGATGTTGCTACTACCCTGATGTTACATCAGTATGGGGCACTCAGTGTGTGGGATTATACGTCAGCTGGTGAGTAGATTATTTCAGAAATTGCAATTTTTTTAAAAGAATTTTCAGTCTCGACTTTTTAAAAACAAAAAAACTTGGAGATTCAGAAAATCGGCTTAATCCCTGTCTTTTCGCGAATTTTCTTTGTGGGAAATTCTATAATTTATGAGAACGTTCAAGAATTGAAGAGTTCGTTCCCAACGAAACAGTTCACATTGTCCGAGAAAATTCTAAATTCTGGAAATCTATAATGAAGTTCATTTGACATTTTGTCCTGACTATACTGTTGGAAAAAAAATGGAATTTCATGGACAGACGACTAGTAATTTTCAGGAGAGTGACATTGGATGCGATTTAAAGGGGAGAAATCATCAAATTTCAAGTTTCACTGAAACTTCAATGAAATTCCAAATTTTTGAGCAGCATTGATGTGAGAATTCCTCAAACTATTTGAATTTTCAATGAACTGATCAATATTCAGTACCAAATTACGATGAATTTTCAATTAACAAAAATAATTGAACGAAAATGTACTGTTCTACCTGACTTTTCCATGAAATTTTACATTTTCAATGACGAAATTCCTTAAAATTTCCTTGGAACAAAAATATAATCAAAATTTACGAAAAGCATGCCTGACATTTCAGTCAAAAATTTTCAAGAACCTCCTATTACTAAAATAAATACTCTTTGAAAAATCGCAAACTCAATTTCCTAAAGGACTTCAGCTTTACTCAACTTCGAAAACCAGAATATAACAGCCAATCCCCCAAACAATTCATACCATAAAATCTCCAATAAAAAATAATCCACTAATAGCGCCATTACCGACGATCTCTCCGAAAGAAACCGGTTATCACCAAAAATAAATCAGCCAATTACTCCATAAATCACCCACACGCGTACTAAATGTCTAATTAACGCTGACTTAACGTTCGACTCCACCCCTTTTATTGCCGAACGCCTCTCCAAATACTTGAAAATACCACTTGAGATCTCCAAAAATGAAAAAATCATTATCGTAAAGCCTTACGACACTGACTCACGCCATTAATGCCCCCGTTTTTCCATCTCCCAGCCCCATTCGTCGAAATGGACATGAATCCACACTTACCGGGCGTGGGCGAGACTGCTGTTCACAAGGACGCAATAATATTCAGTGGCCACAAGTTCATGGGCGGTGCACAGTCACCCGGTGTCCTCGTTATCAAGAGATCACACCTCCCAAAGGACATTGCAACTGAGGACATGAGAGATTCGCATCATTACCTCAGAGATCCTGAGTTGCGAGAGGAGAGTGGTACAGCCGGGGTTGTCGAGTCAATAAGATGTGGTTTGGCAATGCAATTGAAGGAAAACGTAACAGCACAGGCCATTGTCACTAGACAAGATAAAATCTCCAGGTGAGTGCATTGATTGTTATATCAGAGATGTCATTCATTGGGCATGATTTCATCATGCGGCGGCTGTTATCGAGGAGCTCATGATGTGCGAAGTTCTGTAATTGTTCCTATCTTATTGTGAGATCCACAGATAGGGGTTTTAATAGCCAGCGAGCATTCTCACTCGTCTTCGGTATTATTTTTACTCGCATTTTCCTGATGGCATCAGGTAATTACTGGCCTTGACCATCAAAGTGGTAAATCGAGTGCGTTATGGAAGGTGGGACTGACTGGCTCATGAATACTCGGGGAATTTTAATGGTTTTGACATTGCTCGAACTATTTTCTTTCCTCAATCTGTGGTTTCACGGCGCTACTGTTAAATTTTATTGCGACTTCCTGGTTTTGGGGGTAAATACTGATAAAATGAACTGCTTGATGCGACGTTCAGAGGGCATTCAGCCATGTTTTTAGGTAAATTGTGATGTGAGTAATGTGATTAGATGATTAATTGACTTCTGACGATCAAGTGAAGGCATCACAGGCAATTTCTTTAGGTCTCTCTATCAAACGTTACGACCTCGACCTCGAGTCATGAACTGTTGATAAATGTTTTCTACGTTTCGGATTTTTCTCCTTTGGGAGCTCCGTCGATAATTCATGATCTGTTAATTAATATCACATAACTCACACGTGATACGGAACCAAAACATTAACGTAATGAAGTACTCATCTTAATTAAGGCTTGTTTCTCTGTTTTTAGACAAGTGCTGGCGCACGTGCGAACGATACCCGAGTTAATTCTCCTCGGCAGCTCGTCAAACAATATCAAACGACTGCCAATATTCTCGTTTATGGTCAGACATCCCAGGGGCACGTTTCTCCATCATAACTTTGTGTGCGCTATTTTAAATGATGTTTTTGGAATTCAAGCGAGAGGGGGATGCGCATGCGCCGGTCGATATGCACACGATCTCATGGGAATTGACACTGACCTTGCACGAAAATACGAATCTGTACTTTCAGACAGGTATTTTAATCCTTCAGTTTTTAACTCTTTCAACCCTCAACTTATAATTCTTTTTAATTGTTAATTTTTTCTGCAATTCACTTTGAAAAGCGGTGGTTTGGGAAAATTATGCAAATTTTTACAGAGAACTTTTGGGCCAGTGTTGATTAAAAGTGAAAAACGTTTTGATTTCTCCATATTATTCTTTGAATACAGTTCATTTGAATTCAAATTTTAGTTTTTTATCTCACTATTTGCTATCATTTATTGTGGGAATTCTCACGGAGAACCCATTAGACGAGGCATTCCATTCGATAAATTTTGAAGAAGTTTATGGGGAAGATATTCAGCCCAGTTACCTATTTTGAAAATCTAGGAAGAAATTAGAAAGTCTAATTTTTGGAGAAGACCCGTAGAATACTTGAAAAACAGTTGCCTTCGGAAGGTCAAACTTTTTAATTTATAATTCATGAACCGTCTTTAAATTTTGAAAACCATCTTTTCGAAATCTTTGCAAATTTGTATATTTTCTGACATTTACTGTAAATCAGTTTTATAGGCAAAAAAATCTATTTCTTTAAAAAATATTTCTTCCTTCTTCAACATTATTCCCAATAATTAACGAATTTGTCTTCCCTAGTGGATTACACTGCGGAAGAGAGGATTGCAACACCGAAGCCCTGCGCCCAGGTTTCGCTCGCCTGTCCCTCCCCTACTTCATGTCCGAGGCCGAACTGGCCTTCGTCCTGGAAGCCCTGAAAATGGTGGCAACAGAAGGCTGGAAACTTCTCCCCCAGTACGTCCTGAACCCGGACACCGGCGAATGGCGTCACCACACAAACTCAGTCTTCAAAGAGCGAAAATGGTTGGCCTCGATAAGATACACAGACGGTAAGATGGTATCATCAGAGCGTCGAGTATCGGGTGGTGGTGGGGTCTTCCCCCAGAGCTACAGTGACTGCCTGCAAACGGCGCGAAACATCTTCAACAGGGCCCGAAAAATGGCGCACAGATACCCCCTCCAAATTGACAGAAGCGTAACCTTCTCCGAGAATCTGGAGTGCCTCAGATGGTTCATCCTGCCAGCGGAGGCCCAAGATCTGCTCCTAGGAAACTCCCAGAACGTGAAGCAAGACCTCCCCTTCGACCCCCAGTCCAGAAAGCACCAATGGCGTGACATAACTTCAAACTCTACTGCATTAATCAGAAGACTAAACAGTGACATCCCGAGAACAGGAAATCACCCGCCCCTGTCAGTGCTATCATCCCCCCGCCACCACAGTCTGCCAGCCCTCTCGATGACCAGACAAAACAGCCTCCAAGACACCTCGGACGAAACCCTAGCCCTCGAAGGTGTGGACAAGCACGACAGTTCATCAAAGCCCAAGAAGCCCTTCGAGAGAAGCCAAACAAGCGGACAATTCTCCAACCACTCATCTCGAGCAGGCTCCCCCTCCCCAGCAGTGAAATTCGCTGTTGGCGAAGCGGTGTCACCTCCCATGATTCTTGGAACGACTCCAGCAGGTGCTAGGTTATTATCAGATGAGCACTCACTGCCAACGGGAGGAAATGTACCGAGAATGGGACGTGCCAGATGCAATTCACTCGGTAGCTCTGCCATAGGAAAGACTCTGCCAGTGCCAATTCCCCTGAGTCCTCAGACGTTAGCCAGTTTAGGACTTGCTAACTCATCTGCTGTCAGCAGAAATCATCGAAATTGCAGCTGCACCTGTCGAGTCGAGTTGTCCTCCTCCTTGGACTTCGACGGAACCACTGACAGTCCGAACAGATCTCCATTGTCCTCCTCGACATCCTCGCCCACCTCCTCCTCCTCACCGTCGCCCTATCCCTGTGGGTATTCATCCTTGACCTCGCATCATCCCGCACATCCCCAACAGCATTGTCCGCAGCACAGCGAGGGACATGCCACGCAGAAGCTGGGGAGATGCTCCCCCATTCTATCCAGTTTTAGTCAGAGCTCTGATGACGATCTCCACGCGTATCTGAAAGGAAGGACCGAGGACATTGCTACGGAGATCAAATCGGAGATCAGGGAAGTCATTTCTCAGGTCGACGATGTATTGTCCGAGAGCAACTCTTCGGATCTTGGAACCCCGCAGCATTATCCTCACAGGACTTTCTCCAATGGGAGTGATAAACCACACAGGGATGACTCATTCTCAGCTAGTGAGATTGCCGAGTACCTCATGGAGTTCTCGAAGGAAATGGCTAGTGAAGTCAAGTCCGAAATCAGGTAAGGATCTTGCAATGATTTCATTTTATGATTTCACATTGAACTCAAAAAGGTTTACGAATATAAAATAATACTCGTAGAAATTGTCAATCATTCGAATTTCGTTATTCCAATAACTCTACCAACTTCAAAGTTTTATAATACAGAAGGCGAATACGGAACCGATCTTATCCCCACTTATTAGCTATTTCGAATTTCTCTAGGCCATTTTGCGGTTCGCAATAATGTCAACTCAAAAATAAAGTAAACTACTTGATCATCTTCTTTCTGCCAACTTTTCAAGTGATAAATCCCCTCCTCATCAGGGCAATTGATTATTTTCCATCTACGTAATCCAACAAAATAAGACAACATTACAATTCTTGCCTGTTGAGATAATCAATTTTCGAGATAATAAATGAAAATAACTGATAATTCAAGGATCATTTAGTTCCTTCTAAAAACGAGAAGCCTGGAGAAGTGGAAGAAATATGAATATTCATATCGGTGGTTGGAAAAGTGATTCACTTATCTATTTCCGTTTCTCCCAAAATACTTATCGATAAATATTCAAGAAGTTATCAACATTCAAAGAAAAGGTCAAAAGTATCCATTTTATCGCACTCTCCCCTATAGTCCGCAGGTAAACCCAACTTATCACAGTCTAAAACCTGTAATCACCCCGTTAAGACATTCCCCCAACTCTCGATATTAACATGAATACTTTGTTCCTATGGACAGGTGTATGGTGAATGCGGTAGACGGTCTAGGTAGATACTCCCCGGACCTCCACTCGTCAACCCCATCGACCAATTCCCCTGGCTACAAAACCCCGGAGCGCCGTCTACCCGACTCTCCCCTCGCACGCCTCTCGAAAGGTGCTAAACTCAACGAACTTTTTCAATCCCAAGAGAGCAAAATGTCGAGCGAGTGTTCGTCCGACGAGACTGTGATATATGTCGTTGGTCCACGCACAGCTGCCCAGACTAATCACGAGAGAGCAAAAACATCCGACGAGGAAGAGGAGCACAGTGGCAAACAATCAGCCAAATCCGTTGTAGAGATGTCATCGAAGGGAGTGAAAACATTGCCAGAGATATATTCAGCTATTAATTCGGTTAGCTCCCAAGACAGTGGTATCAATTTGTCATTTCACGAGAGTGACGTGAGGACCACTGATCATCTTGGTAGGAGTGGGTCGAGCAGCAGTGGAAGCAGTGCTGAATCATCTGGCACGAGTTTCATTAAGAAGTGTAAAGGTCTTGCTGAGAGAAAACGAGACGATAAATTGCCGAATGATGTGTCGGACGACGAAGACATCAGGGAGGAAGATGTCTCAGTATCTGAGGATGAAGATGTTCTGCTGAAGAAGTTGGAAGAGAGCTGTGAGGGAAATGCCCCACAGTGGCACAGCCCCTCTAGCAGCATCTGGAAGCCGACTGTTGAGGCCATCCACGAGTATGACATGATAAGAGATAAAGATAGGGTTCTCATTTGTCTCCCCGTGTCGACTGTCGGCATCGGTGTGGCTGCTGGCAAGCACTCGCTGGCTTTATTACATACTTTGCACCAGTACCAGTTCTACGCAAAGTCCAAGAATATTGATTTTGAGATCGGAGCTGTTACGATTAACAGCGGAAGTAGTTATGATCCTCTGGAGAGCATGAGTTACCTGAAGAACTTACAGGTGACTTATTTCTACGAAGAAGCCGAAGAGCAGACTGAGCTCATCAATTCTACGAAAACAGGGGATGGGTTCGGGGAAGGTAATGGCGAAGGGAACTCAGAGAGTTGTGGGGTTTGCGGAAGGGTGGGAGATGTCACTAGACAGAGACTTTATTCGGTGGCCAAGAGGTATGGGTACAATGTTTTGGCTCTTGGTCAGCATTTGGACGATCTTGCTGAGGGATTTCTGTCTTCTCTGTTCTGCACTGGAAAGCTTAAGGCCATGAAGGCTCATTACTACGTCAAGGAGCAGGAACTCAGGGTCATCAGACCCTTTGTCTACGTGAGGGAGCGGGCACTCAGGCAATTTAATGAGGATAAAAAGCTGCCGATGTTGAGGGTCAATTGTGGAACTTGCGAGGAGAGTGGGGCGAGCAAATTGCAGAGGAATAGGGAACTCTTGGCGGGACACGAGAGGTCTTATCCGAGATTGTATTGGTCGTTGAGGACTGCACTGAGGCCTTTGATACTTGCTAGGGGTCCGGCTCAAGGGTCCGGCCACCAGGCGCAGAGGCACAGGCACAAGGGGAGGAAGGGGGCACTTGCTACTTTAACGGTTCTTGCGACTTCACAGGAATTGGCGGATAGTGAGAGTGAGGATGAGGGACAGGTTATTTGAGAGGGGTCGATGACGATGAAGTATCGTCAGTCGAAATTACTGGGGATGAGGGAGAGTGCTGTCAAGGGGGCGAAGGCTTACGAAAGGCTGGCTTGAATAAGACTTTTTTTTATTGTGGGGAGGAACATTCGTGCGGTTTGACGCGGAAATTCGGAGACTCGAATTCTTCAAGTGATAATGACTTTTAAATAATTGTTATTGGTATTTTCGCGCGTGGAAAGTACCTTGTGACTCGGGTAATCGGAGGGAATGGTCGATTTGTGAATGCACACTGCAGTGAATTCGGGATTTTGAAGCTTTATTATGTTTAGGAGGTTGACGTTTTGAGAGTATATTCGAGGATTTTAGTAGTCTTTTATACTTTGGGATTGATTTTGAGGAGAAATTTACTGCAGGGGTTGTACTTAGGGAGCTACTGATTCACGAAATGTTTGAGCTTCAGCTTTTTTGGGAATTATTGGTCTGATAATGTACAGTAGCTGTGAAGTTTGTACATATATCAATCTGACTTTGATTATGTTCACTTTATGAAGATGTATGCATGTTATTTACTATGAAATTTTAGAATTTCAAAATGATTCGTGAGTTATGCTGAGTAGGTTTAAGGAGAAATGAACGGCGACTGTACAGAACACAAGAAATTTTCCTATTTTTTCGAAACTAATGGAATAATATGAAGAGTGATTGAAATATGATTGACCGTCTGGTTTTATAAATTTGTAAATAATGATGGAACATTAAACGGTGATTTGTACTTACAGTGCCGTCCCCGTTCATCTTTGCTCGCATGCCTCAATGTAAATTGTAGAATTGCATGGTCAGAGAACATTTTGAAATTCATTTGTGAAATGAATTTGTGAAATGAATTTGCGAATAACAACCCAATTGGCGATTTCCTCGAGGACAATAATATCATGAGACTGCCTCGAAGACTAAAATTTTTTTTAAACTACCTTTCGGCTATTTCACGCCGAATGTTTGTATTAATGTCACTACATCGAAATTGTGGATACAATGTCAAGTACTGACGAAACAATTTCATCCCAAGAGCATGATTGAAATTTTTGTAGATTAGAAAGTAAATGACAAACCCCAAAAATTGTTACAAATTTGAAATGAACATAATCTTTACCTTAAACAGAAAGAATATTTTCGACGTGGGGTATTTGGAAATCAAAGACGACGGGACAATTGATCGTCATTGCATTTCGTAGAATATAAGAGTTTCTTTCTTATTGAAAAAGGCATTGACTTGTCGTACTTAATCGTGGCAAAATCTTGGAATAGCTACTAATAACTTTGAGACATAAACCAATGTTGACGAAATGTATCAAGTTTACGATCGTGATACCGATTGATTGAAGAGTTATACAAATAATTATGAATAACAAATTTATATGTACGGTGCGAGCACGTCCAAGCGGCACACAGCCCACAGTGTAATTGAAACATTATAGATATTTATGGTATATATTTTCTGAGAGTTGAAATGAAGAATGCATATTGTTAAATATTGTAAAGATGTGTAATTTTATTTATGGCTAATAAATAAAAGAGTTTAAAATAACCTCTGATCATTGATTCTTTTTATGATGATGAACGAAAAATTCATGAATAATCAAAAAATCAATTTGTTGATTTTTAAGTGTATTTTTTTGGTCAATTTCTGTTTTCGAAGAACAAATAATGAAAGGAAATGAGAATTAGGAAAACAAATGATGAGTGGAAATCCCAGAGGACAGATTTCATCAATTTACAAAGGATGAACATGATTTTAGGGATTTAAGTTTTCTCTCCTTTATTTAAATCATGAAAAATCTATCATCTTTGCACATGAAATTAGAGAATCAAAAATTGAAATATTCACAATTTATGACGTTTACGAAAATGTATCATAAAAATGAAAGATGAAAGAAAAATTTATGAATAATGAAAAAATTGATTTGTTGACTTTCAATTACAAATCTTCGATCAATTTCTTTTCTTGAAAAGCAAAAAATAAAAGGAAATGAGGGAAAGGAAAGGCAAAAGCAAAGAATTCATGAATTTGGACATGAACAATTACGCAATGTATAATTTTTATCGTACACTCTTTTAACTAAAATATCATTAACCAATTCCATGATCTTCTTTAGTTAGGATTTCAAGTAATAAAACTCCCCAACTCCATTGCAATTTTCATGACTGATTTATTTGAATTTTTAAAATATTTTAAACACCGCACAATAGCTTTCGTCGTTAGCATTAACAATAGACTTCTGTATATCATTTGATTTTCATAATCAGTAGGATAAATTTTCAATAGACGAAATGTTCATTATAATATTGGAAAAATTGTTCGAGACAAACGTGATCGATTGAACCAAGCATTATCTTAATCACAATTAATTAGTACTTTCTTACATTCACGAGTTATCGGATGATAAACATCCTCAATGATCTTAATTTTCTCAGTTTTCCGAGATCAGTTCAGCTTCTTGTATCAGGCGATGCCGTTCGAAGATGAATTAATTCGGGATATATACATTTTTTCAATAGAATACCGAGAATTGTTGAGCATATAGTGAGGTCGATACAGACTAGAGACACTTTACCCTCCGGTTTTCGCCGTTTTCCGGCAATAGTCTTTCCATTTCTCCTGTCACTATCTTTAATCTGTTTCGAAAAAGATTGAGATGACATTTTCATTGCTTATTTTCGTAATCGATGTCATTTTAATTCATATAGAAATCTACATTAAGACAAGTTGATAAGAGAGACTTGTTGTCAATCGATATAAGCGCACGCGTACAATAATTCGAAACGGAAGTTACTTCCGGGTGCATCCAGCAGAGTTCTCTCACTCCCCTTTCGTTGAAATAAAAAATTAGATTTTTCAAAATTCACAATTTTTGAAATAATAGCATTGAAATTTTAATATTACATAGCATTATTTGTGCACATTTAATTGGGTATCGATGAAAAAGACAACTTTTTTAATTATCTTTATTATGCGATGGACGCATGTCCGCAATGATAAGTATTTGACGAATGAAAAATGAATCGTAGCTACCGCTAGAGAATTCTGTTCGTTTCTTGCAATTTTTACTTGAATATTTGATGAAGAAATGTTCAAAAAATTTTTATTTTCCCTAGATTCTTTGTATTGGCAATTTTCCTTAGGCATAATTTTTTTTTTAAGTGTTCTTATTGCTAATTATTAATTCCAGAGAATAAAACTTGGAAAATCGTTGCCTAAGAATTTTTCCGGGATAAATCGTTACAGATCAGTTGTGCACGTGCGAGAAAAGTTCATAGAAAAACATCACAAATTCGTTTGAAAATTCTATTAGATTTCCATTAAAGTTCTGATTTCTATAAAAATTATTTCACCGAAAGATGAAATTCTAGTTTTTTATAAAATAGTTTCTATGGGATATTTTCCATAAAAAACGCACAGCAAAGCTGCAGAATTTTTCAATAGAACGGAACGTAAATTAATAGAATTGTCAATTGCGGTTCAATGAAAATCCAATGGAATTTTCTATCGAATTCGCGATGTTTTTCTACAAAATTTTTTCTTCAACCCTGAACAAAACTAATACAATTTCCTAGCAAATTCTAAACTTCCGCACAATTTTTCCACCCGTGTAATTTCTCATTATCAACACTTCATTTAAAATAATTTCGTCTCTTACGATTAACGTTCATTCTTTCAGATTCATAAGAATTCCATTAAATCTGCAGATATGTGAATACAATGATCCCTGTATTAACAAAAACAATGCATCCAGTTACTTGAGTAATACTCGATATTGAAATCATAATTGCATTCTATTGAATGAAACTCGGAATCTCATTTCCTCATTAATTCCGAAATCGATAATTGAAGGGGGTCTTACCGGGTCCTCGGGGTTCGAGGGAACTGAAATTGAAACAATGGAGATTCTCATTCTGTAACTGGACCTCTCATTTGATTGTAGAACGCGAAATCTTTCGTTGGAGATTAACACGAGACATTCTTTTTTCTAGTTGAAAATGCAAGCTATGAATAGTCATTGAGTTGGATAAATCAGCAGGAACTATCGAATGTCAGATCCCTCGATGTTGGTCTTGATCTTTCAGACGAAGAGAAATTTCCATTAAAAATTACGGTTGATGCGTGCGTTAAATTTCACCGAAAAACAGCGAATTCGATTGAAAATTCTGTTGGATATCTGTTGAACGTTCTCTTAGTTTTCGGCTGATTTTATTGGAAAATTCGATAGCTTCAATGGAAAACATTGTACAGCAAAAATTAATCGAATTCTATTTTTGTACACAAATTTTTCTATTGAGATTTTTTAATGAAATTAAAAAATCTCCGCCTCAGTTTTCTAAGTTTTTTGTTTAATCATTTCAATGAAAAGAGGAGAAAAATAGAGCGGGAAAAAATTGAAAATTCATATCAAGGAATTCCTGGAGAAAAAGTTGTACAGAAAGATGAAATTCAACTGATTTTTTTATAAAACAGTTTGTATTGGACATTTCCTATTAAAAACGTGTGGTAAAGCTACGCATTTTGTCAATCGAATCGGCCAAAAAGTAATAGAAAATTCCATAGACCTTCAATAGAATTTCTTATCGCATCCGCTAGGTTTTTTTACGAAAAAATCCAGCAAAAGACTTGTGAAAATTCTTACATGTTCGGAGAGAATGCGCCTGAAGTATTGCAATTTTCATTAAAAATCGAGGGTAAATTATAATAGAAATTTCACTACGTGCAGACGGTGATGCCTCCAGTAATGGAGACCCATTGAAACTCACGAGAAAGCGAGCAATTGGTTAATTGATTAATTAAATGTACATGATACATACATATGTATACACAAATAGTTACACGTGTGTAGTGCACGCCTGTGCGTTCATGAAGTGACAAAATTCACGAGGAGAAAACAATTCTCGAAAGAAAAATACTTTCATTAATTTAAAAAAACCAGAACAATGCGTTTTTTTCTTTCCACGAAATGACATCAATTTTTGTTTTGCAAAAATTGACGAAAATTGACGTTCGTTCATAACAAATCCGCTCATCACAAAGATAATTCCATATTAATTCAATTTATTACTGAATAATTCTTGAATTAAGAAGAATATTCTTGATTCGAGATCGTTTCCCCTTCGTGTGCTCGAGCTTTAGGAGTAATGATTTAATTATGACTAATAAAAGTGCTTTGAAATATCAACGTTATCATCATAATTATGTTTAAAATTCTTAGATCGATCAGTTTATTTCGACTAACGAATAAAATTGAATAAGAATATTTCGGAATTGAGGATATGGACTGGTGGCCTCGACGGATCCTAGAAGGGCGGCGACTGGGGTGTTTCTTCCTCATCCTCCTCCTCGTCCTCGTCCTCCCCCGGCTCCACCAGTGAACGTGCAAATTCTGGACAAACAAGAGTCAAGTAAAGATGATGAATTCCGAGTGAGTGGGTTGGGCCATGAGTGGACAGACCAAGTTCTGGGGATGGGTAAATATTGCGAGTACAAAGTTTGATTTGATGTTAATTAATCATTGGAACAGGGGAGGGAAAACCCATTGTTAAAGTTGTTTTGAAGATGATTCTTTCACATTGCGATTGTATGGCAAAATACTCCCGCAAAAGTTTTACTTCCGCCAGCAAAAATTCTGTTGTGTTGACCATTACCAAGTCTTGGACCAGTATTAGAGAAGTTTTATAGGAGAAAACTGGAAGGAGAGGTAATGAGTGGAGAACATTCAACGCAATTTAAGAAAATAGCAGACGCACTGTTGGAAAAAATTGAAAGTTCATGAAGGATTGATTGATTATTTCGATGAGAGGGATTGATTTCACTGAAAATTCAGCGATAAAATTGACAACGTGAATATTCAGTATTACATTACGTAGAATTGTTAATTAATTAAAAATTAAATAGTATATTTACCTTAATTTTCCTGACTTTTATTCATTTTTGTAGAATAAATGAACTCAAATTTACTGTTTTCATTTGATTTGAACTGAAATTTTGTTAAAATTTTAGTGGAGTTGTCGCATCATCAAAATTTTCATCCATTTTCGATTGAAAGGAGGGGAGGAATCATAAAATTTCAGATTTTACTAAAAATTCAGTGAAATTTAATTTTTTTACCAACAGAAAGACGAGAATTCCTCAACTTACTTGAATTTTCAATAATCCCATGAATATTCAGTACCAAATTCCGCAAAGCTTTGCATTAATTGAAAATTTAATAATATATTTACCTAAATTTTTCTGATTGTTATTCAAGTCCATGGAAAAATTGAACTCGAATTGTCTGTTTTCATCCGATTAATCATTAAATTGTGAATTTCAAATGTCACATGATGAAAATTTCTTCCAGATGCACCGGAAATTTCATCCGAAAATCGTTAACAATGCGTGATCCCCAACTATTAAATTAAAAACCAAAGGATACTTCCTCGCAACTTAATTATTTCACAAATGAATTGAAATTGTTTTCCAACGAACTCCTCAGTCTCTCGGAAATATCTCCCCGGCGTAAAGGTTCAGTGGACAGTTGAATAGTTGTTAGGCACCCGAAGTGACAAGTACAAAATTGATCGAACTGATTGAACATCGCTGGATCAATACTCCCTGGTAACAAGGTCACAACGTTGCATTCGGCTCTTTAAAGGAAAAGTTTAAGAGAAAAGACATGGCTGGGGGGGGGGGGNTGATTGAACATCGCTGGATCAATACTCCCTGGTAACAAGGTCACAACGTTGCATTCGGCTCTTTAAAGGAAAAGTTTAAGAGAAAAGACATGGGGGGGGGGGGGGCTAAGGGGTCGGTCAGGGGACGTGAATGGTGCGATTGGGGAGCGAGGTAATAGTACTTGAGAAAGTTTCATCACAGTGTAACATTGCCCGTCGTTCACGGGTTCCTCCCTGATTATAAAGAATGAACTTTGACGCTGGGATGCTATTCTCTCTGTTATCTGGCAACAACTTTTCATATTGAACCAACGCATCAATGAGTTTCAATGTGCTTTAATTACCTCTTCTATTATAATTTACTTAGTGGAGTCAATCAGAAGTCTGCGCTAGTGGAGGCTTGGTAACCACCGACGTGTGAATTTTGTCACAAAAATAACAATTGTTTGAGTTCTTGATAGTTTTCTAAGTAAAATTCAACATTTAACATAGTAATTTTGAGAAGAAATGTAAAACTACGACGTGCAAGATGAAAAAATACGGCTGACAAAATTAAAATATGATGAAGTCCGTGGGAGAAATTACTGTTGAACATAGTTAAAGTTGAGAGTCACTATAGTAGACAATGGTAGTATAAAAGTTAAATTTCCAATTGACACGAGTCAAATTTAGGAGGATAAACATGAGGACGAGGGAGAGGGGGATTTTTTAAATAACCAAAGTGAAAAACCATATTTAATCTTCTTTATCATCCTTGAAAATTATTATCAATAATTTTGCTCCACGTATATTCATTCTGAAAAAGAGGAGGGGGAGAGGAAGAATTGAATTTTTTAGAATTATAGAATCCCTCACCCGGGCCATTGCGTTGTCGACGAAGGGAGGAGATTCCAAGAATTGAACACAATCGACGCTCTCGTCGTCCGCCGGAGTTTTTACTCCTCAACATAGTAATTTCTGCTATTTTCTCGAGTAAAATGTAGGAGACGCAAGAGTATAAACTAAAGTTTTAAATCGTAGGAAAAAACTACAATTTAACATAATAAAAATTCATACGATTCGAGTAATTTTTCGTCGTTCAGGGAAGATATGAATGTTTTTTGAGGCCCGAGTGCAGAGTTCAAAACCAGAGTTCGTAGCAGAGGTGTCAGACAAGATGTGAGCGAAAATCTACCGCGGATCTCGGTAAAATTTACCGTGAAGCGTGCGAATAGACACTGCCAGTAAAAATTGGTAAAAAAATAAAGTGTTTTTAACACTTTTAAAAATTATTCTTTTGTCCCTGCACTTTACACTGTTTTAATCATTAAAAATTACTATGTTAAATCGTAAAAAATGAATTTCATCGCAAACATTCGATTAAAATAAATCAAATTTTAAAATAATTTTTAATTTTGTATCGTCTTTGTGTACAAATCTCACCGTAGAAATCGATTCTCCCGTCGCCATCTTCGTCCACCTCCTTGATCATGTCCTCAACTGAAAAAAGAAAAACGTCATCAACTCCCGAAGGACTCCCAACCATTAATTCTCCCTGGTCATCCCCCACAATTCTAAAATCATTAGTTTAATTGATGCGATTACGAGTGTGTAACTACGAACACCTCGCCATGCAATCAGCTGGTGCATAGTCGGAAAACCTACATTTCCCCCCGAAAACTTGGTTCTGTAATAATGAAGCGTGCCCGCTACTCCCACTGTTTGAGCCATTAGGAGCCATTGGCGGGTGGGTGGCTGTGCTAACTGGGCTGCAATAACTCAAAAATTATCTCGTCCTCATTATTCCCAGGTAGGATGTTGAAATTCACGTGATTCTCGGTGAGGATTTTAACGCAGGCGTGAATGATTAAAATGTAAGTGAGTTTTTCAAATTACAAGTGGCCAAATCATATTGAGGAGGACTGGATTTTTATCTCGAGTGGTGGATTGCTAAGCTTTTAATGCTCGTTCTCACGGATAAATTTGCTGCTGAAATTATTCGCGGGGAAAGAAATCCTCTTATTAAAAATATTGTTCGTAATTCGAGAAAAATGGGAGCCATTTCGCCACAACAGTAGTTGAGTCATGATTACTGTTTAAAAATTTATTTCTTCTACTTATTTTATGAGTAATAAGTAGGGGCGGGTGGGGCAAAACGGCCCCCCTTCAATTGTCAAAAAGATAATAAATAAAAGATATAAGAATAAAATAAGAATAAAATAAAATAAAAGATAATTTTTCATTCTTCAAAACGAGCTCTAACTCATCCCAATCGGATTATTGAATCGGAAAATATTGACGATTGAAGGGGGGCCGTTTTGCCCCATCCTCCCCTATCTGCAGGATTGATTAATTGAAATTCTATGAGACAACCGTTTATAGTAAAATTTCTATGGCTACAAGAAAATTATTTGGGTAATGATTTGGTAAATTACATTCGGTCACTAAAAATGAATAAATAGTTCGACAACAACCTGTTTTGTTGTTGGAGGAATTGATTAATTGAAAAATGTACATAGAATTCCATAAGACAACAGTTTATAATGAAATTTCAATGGATACAAGAAAATTATTTTTTTAATGATTTCGTAAATTAAATTCGGTCACCAAAAATGAATAAATAGTTGGAGAAAAAAATCATAATAATTCTAATTCTTCAAAAAAAATTTCCGCCATTCGAGAGTAATTTTTTTACTTAATTTTGAGGAACTTAAGGGTTTCATGTGGAATTGGACAGAAGTAGGAACGTTTTACCCCAGCGGTAATTGAGCCAAAAACAACAAAAATCTGGAGAAATAACGAATTGATGAAAAACCCAGGGCAATTACCGAAGGGAATTAGTTTGAAAAGTTGAGTGGACAAACTCAACATTGAGGGTTTACTCCCAGTTGCATGCGAGTAAACATTGGATTCTTACCCATGTGTGGATTTAACCAACAACAATCATGGACCACACAAGTTTGCCCGCCTACTCGACCCCCTTTCAGCCCGACGCGATAGAAAAATAAAAGTGTTCAACAACTTTTCCAGCGTCAATTGAATTGTCAGTTGCAAGTGCTTGTGTGGGATTCGGAGGGTTGAATCGTATAGTTGTAAAATTACTGACGTCTCACCGGAATTTATTATGGAGGCGATTATACCGGCGATGATCGCCCAATTAAAAGTTATTTTGCAAGCCTCAGTGGTGAATACCAAGTGCCGATTCAAATAGGAATGCTAATTAGGTAATTAATGTCAAACAGACTGGGGGTCGGATATGGTATTATATAAACACTTTGAAAAGTCGAAATTATCGGAGTATTATGTTACACTGGATGCATTAACAATCCAATAATCAAGATCATATTAAAAAAAAGAGAATTTAGTTTTTCTTACTGCAATTTGGAACTGAAAAATTTAGAGTTTTCGCGGAGAAATTCGATTAGAAATTATGAAATGTCGTCATGTGATTTTTTCGTAAGGTATTTGATAGATAAAAATGAATAATTATATTAGAAATAACATTAACAGTCCAATAATCAGTTTCACAGAAAAAAATTTCATTTAATTTGTCATTTTTTCGATTCAAAACAGAAAAATTGGAGTTTTCGCGGAGAAATTCAATTAGAAATTATGAAATTTCGTCAAGCGATCTTGCAGGAAGGTATTTCGTAGGAAAAAATTCAAAAATTGTATTAAAAGACACCCATTAAATTTCTAAATCTAGTAGAAAAAACTTTAATTCTATAAAAAATGCAATAATGCCGGGATAAAAATAAAATGTTTTTAATTGAATTGTTACAAAGTTTCGTGTAAGGCTAGTACTCCACATGATCACTAGAATTTAAGGGTCAATTCTGATAGACATTCCTCTTCATGGGAAATTTCTTGTTATTTAGGAAGTGCGTGATAAAAACGTTAACGTGATTTTCTTGTATCATCGTGAGAAGGCAAGATTGGCGAGGAGATTCTAGACAAATCGTAATTAATTATCGGACATTCCTGGGGGGATCGACTAGAGTTCTTTTACTTCTCGATTTTTTTATTTACTTCCGCCCAGATCGATAATCAATCACTCGTGAAGTGAGTTCTAAAATAAATGGGAGGATTTCAGTTCTTGCAAAAATTTTGTCATTCTTTTTTTAGAAAAAGTATTGGCTGAGGTAAAAAAATAGTAATGTTCAACTACATCGCAAATCGTTGAAGTAGGAATTTTTTCCGATTTTTTGAATCATTTATTAAATAGAATTTGTTCAGAGTTATACTATTTTGAGAAAAAAATTCTAAAAACCCAAAAAGATAAAATTTTCAAAAAGTTTCATTTAGTTACATTTATCCATGAAATGTTTCATTTAGTTAAATTCATGCCAAAATTGAAGTCAATCGATTAAAAAAAAATCAAAACCTCTTTTTTAATATTTTTTTAAATACTTTGAAAATGGAATTAGTAAACTCATCACTACGATAATTAGGGAATAAAATTCCCTGGAATTTTGAAATTCTAGCGCAGCCTCCCCCCTAAATGTCTATTTTGTTGATTCTCGTTGAGATAATCCTAAGAAACCATTTGATTGAACCCCCGCGATAATTAACTGAATCTCCGTAATAACAATTTCGTTAGTAGACTCAGGTGCAATAGGCTCACCGTCGTTTTCCAATTTACCGAATAGTCAACAACAGCACATGCTGCATGCGTCGACCACAGTAGGGGAAATTATTAGGAGGCCGGGCACTATTTGCGGTACGAGAGCATTACCACAAAATGGGAATATGACAAATTATGATGCGAGCGATGCGATACCATTACCGGTGGATTCTATAAACCCCCATCAATTTTTCCCCAATCAAATTTGCCGAACAATACTTGAATTAGATTTACCAAACGGAGGGGAGTCATGCCGGCCACTGATGCGATGAAAATTTGTAGATAATGTCGTTGTGGATTTAATGGAAATAGCTTTGAGGTCGCTTATCGCTGAGTATAACAATATTTTACGAATGATCAAAGGAGTCGATGTAAAGGGATTCTCTCCCTTGATCTGCTCGTTAGAGATGGAACTCAAGTACGAAGTTGTCAAATTTGTACGCCTGAGGTAGCTCATGAACTAATGGAGCATGATACTTTTATTAACTCAATTAAAATGCATTCGGTGGGACACGATGAAGGACGCAAATTTATTTGCAGATTGTTTTGTCAATACTTTACGCGAAATTTGTCGGACGTTGTGTTTTGGGAACAATTGGCGCGTCCGAACTTGAGTTTCACTACTTTTTCTCATTATATCGGGGAAAAAGTGTGTCGGATATTGAATTTTTCTCCGTTGGCCCGGGAAAATTTACTGAAGGTGAGAGTAATTTCTACCGAAACTGAAGAATTTACCGTGCATTCCATCGGAAATTATCCCAGCGAACGTGAGTGATTGCTCAATATTGCGTATAATTTTTTTTTTGTAACGGAGAATTTTTCTCGCCGATCGCGTTCGGTATAATTTCACTTTCAACCGTCTCCATGACCTTCAGATGGGTGCAAAAAAAACTACCCTGGCAGTGTGGGATATGGCCAATAGAAAATATTCTATAGAAAAAGTAAAAAAAATCGATTTTTCTAAACAACTTATTCTACTGAGATATTTTCTGTAGAATTTCCTCGGCCCAAATTTTCCAAGTTTTTTTGGTTGATTCTCTTGATGAGAAAAAAAAATAGAATGAAAAAAACAGAAAATTTGAGCCGAGAAAATTCTATAGGAAATATCTGAAGTTATATAGAAAAATCGAATTCTATTTACTTTTTCTATTAAATTCTTTCGCGCGTGAATTTTTATCCAAATCGTCTCTCGCTGTAGCGAATTCGATCAAAAATTGCATCAGATTTTGATTAAACTTTTATTCACAATCCTATTATTTTTAAAGAATTCAGCAGCTTCAGCTTTTTTTAAAGAAAAAGTTTAATAGAAACGATTTTATAGAAAAAGTCTGCAAAATTCCAAATTTCGATACATTTCTTTGTATAGAAATTGCTTGCCATGGATCTTATAAGATCTTATGTTACTGAAAATAAATTTTTACCTTGAGGATGACTTCAGCATAATTTTTCATTTGATTTCGCAGAGTTAAAATTATCCTTAATACCTGCGTTAAAAACACCACATTTTCAGTTCAATGTTTCCAAATTTCTCATCGTAAATCAATTATTAATAATTGTTCATCATCATGTATAGCCCGAGCCCATCAAATTCTCCCCGAGCAATACGATATGCGCATTTGTGGCGACCAGGCTTATCCAAACCACATGATTACATTCCGATTAGAGCAGACTGAACAACTCCGGAGCTAACAACCATGACAATAATGGCTGCAAGGACTATAATACTACCGGGAAACTCCGCCAAAGTACCGGGCGATAAAATTCCAACAGCCCACAACCCCTGATAAATTTACATTTCGTGATGTAAATTCACATTTGCCCACTTTATTCCTGAGAACATATGAAAACGAAATTACTCACTTTCCTCTTCAGACAGATCCTCACCCAGACACTGTAGCACCGCGCGCAGATCAGAGGCTGTGATATATCCCCGGTTATGTTTATCAAACACCTGAAAAACAGAGGCATTTATTAACATTTTTCTTCCTGTGAATTTGAATAACCGGGGGAAATCTTGATGCCAGGACTATTTCAGAGTCATTGTACCGTGAGAGTGCGACTGCCTCGAGGCGAGATGCTTGATATTAATATCACGGATATCAGAAATGTCGCAGAATCGGGGAACACACGAAAACGAAAGTGGGGGTTCGGAGTTATTAAGAATACATATTGTGTACATGCAGTCATGTTTTAGTTGGTGGCACATCCAATTGCATGTTAATGACTTCTTCACGACAATTTACATTGAGAAGAATCTTTATCGTGTGACAATTCTACTAAAATTATGCGAAATTTCGTCATTAAAAATTGATAATTTAATGAAAAAACCAACATTTATTCATTTTTGCAAAATGCAAAAGAAAGTGGGCGGGAAGAACTGAAAAAAAATTTTTTGAATGTCCCCAGAAAGTTTTAAAGTCTATTTTTCTTCAGACGATATCCATTTGAGCTCTCAAGAACAAATGATTTGTATGTAAAAATGAATAAAAGTGAGAAGCCAGTAGAAGCGGCTAAAAGTGACTCTCTGGATGAAAAGGTCTATTGGTTCCAAGTCAAGTGGTTTTTGCATTAAAATATTCTGAAACTCACAGTAAACAACAACTGAATAAATTGATCCGACTAGATTCTGTTCCAGAAATCGTTTTATTGTCATAAACAAATTATCCTCGTCTTTGGGACAAGCACAAAATCTTTTCACGTACTTCCCAAAAAACTTTTCTGCTTTTCTTCGAATAATGGAAGAATACCCATAAATCTCATTTCTATCCTTGTCTTTTGATAGAATGAATCGAACAGAAATTGAGAATTAGAGACTACAAATTTTATCGAATTATCATTATATAGTGTTTATAATATTCCCTAGCTATTGGCAAAAAAATTAACTAGCTGCACTAAACAGTTTAGGGGCTAATAAATAATTAAATGCGGGCTTCTAGCGCGCAAGGCATAGGCCAAATGGGACTTATGGGAGAAAACTGTTCTCACGATGTTCTTAAAAAACGAATCCATGTTCGATTGATAAATTTCGAATACGGTAAATTTTTCGTAAAATTTTATACCGCATACTTTCACATACTTTCGATATTCAATTCTAAAAAACGAAAATTTCGTGAAATCATTTCTTATTCGATTCAAACAGTTACAACTCAAAATACCTCAACCCCCACTCCACTGCAAAACGTCAAACTCATCATTCTCATTATTTGAAAATGCAATGCAAAATGTCATCGCAATTTTTGCAACGGAATTAATAAAGTCTGAAAGGCGACGAACAAATAAATAAAAAACGAGATTGTACACTTTCTACAGAATCAAACCTCCGACAGAGTGAATCATCGGTGTATTTATAACGCGTGCAAAAGGCAAAACTAACACCAGCAGTTCACTATATATCAAACATTACAAATCGTGAGTTTCAGTCGAGCAAAATAAATGCGATTATTGAACGATTTACTGGATGACTGTGCAATCGATCATTCAGTTAATTGCACGTCGTTCAATATCATCGGATAAATTCCCAGGAAAATGAATTTATGTAACTACTGGGTCACTCGATGCGCAGTGATTCATCTGGTTCATTATCAGCTCCATGCAATCTCGGTCGGCCAGTGATGTAAGCACCAATGTAGGCAAAAAGAATTGAACATCTTGAGAAAATCCCTCTATTTGCGAGAGATATTTTATTTGCGCGTGAAAAATTGTCTTAATGAGACGCGGATTTCTCTTCACAAACGACTTCTTTACATTTTTCTTAATGAAAGGATTTTACTCTTCCCTTAATGAAACGATTCTCCCTTTGCTCGTAAAAGACATTCCCTTGCTCTCGTCCCCATTATCATATTCCGTAGGGCAACAAACAGAGTTATTTGAGCTCACTGAATGGAATATTTTTCACTGAGATTTTTTTTATTGCGAAAATGACTGCCTTCTTTAGGTACCTCTCCACTTTTGTTTCTCGAGGTACATGTATTTCGGAATTACACTGTTAGATGAAGATTTAACTTTCATGGACAGTTGACTCGTAATTTTCAGATGAGTGATATTGAATTCGATTTGGGAAGAGATAATTCTGAAGTTTCTGATTTCACAGAAAATTCAAGAATATATTCATCTGATTTTTCGTGATTTTTATGGATTTCTATTAAATTATTCAACTGAAATTTACACTTTTCATCGACTTTTTCGTGAAATTTTGAAGTTTCAATTACGTGATTCCTTGAAATTTCACACAAAAATGCTCAACATTGTTTTTTATTTAGCATAATAATATTAACGTCAGCGTTATATCAGACAATATAGGTGAAGTATTGTTACAATTATTATATTTAAAGGCTATTTTTATTCTAAAAGATATCTTAAATTTTGGGGTGAGATATTTCTTCAAAACTCCACATGAAAACCAGTACAATACTCATTCATATGCTATAAGACTACGTTTTCATTGATTTTATTTAGTTTTAATCATTTATCCATTTTTCTGTTAATTCCATTTATTTATAAACCTTACTTCTTCTTATTCAGTCAGTTGGAATTATTATCGTTGTAATTACTATAATTGCATTCCTGGAAGTTGGTCTTCAACTTTTGTAATTAATTTTGTTAATTAATGTTGAAAAATTGGTCTTGGCGTTCTTCAGCAAATTGATAGGATGAATAAACAAACACATTTTCATCGATGACCCAACATTTCCGTCTCCAAAGAGACCCTCATCATTTATGTTATTTTTCATGTACTTTGAACACTGTGTTAGAAGATTAAAGGAACCCCTGATGAGGGTCCCTCTGGAGACCGAAACGCTGGGTTATCAACAGAAATCCTTGTAATTTTTATTCATCTTCACAATTTACTAAAAAACACCTAGATAAATTTTTTACCGTCATTAAAAAAAATAATTGCATTTTCTTCTTCTCATTATATTTTATCTGGATGGAGGGAACGGGAATAAATAGTTAAGAAATTGAAAAAATCACAAATTTTTTGTATTTCATCAGCAAAACAATTCATCAATCCTAATTTTTCGGTTTTATTTATTCACTATTATTATTGTTTCTCATTATTTATCATTTATTTACTTTCATTTCATTTTACTTGCGAGGAGGAGAGGAATGGGAAATGAATAGTTAAGAAATTGAAGAACTCTCAAATGTTTTGTGTTCCATAAGAAAAAGAACTCGTCCACCCCCATTTTTTGTTCAATAAAATTCAAGCGACAACGAGGTAATTACTTTTTCCCCTCCTCATTCCTCAGATTTATATCGCAACTTACGGCCAATGGAATTTAATATTCCAAGAATTCTTTATTATTTCTTCATCCTCCGTATTTCTCCATCAATAGAAAAATTATGAACGAAGAACAAGGAGAAGTCACGCTCATTGGATTCAGTTTTCAAATCGAAGCTCTTCCTCATAGCTCCACCATTCCTCAATACACTTTTATTGGACATTTTTATAATGTACTTGCCAGCTGTACAGGCACTTCATCACTCAACAATTATTCCGCCCTGTTTCCCGCAACGATATGTATTCCTCTGTGGGTGGTGATGCACGATCCACCGAATGTTTATCAATCGGTGCATGTAATGTTGTTGTTTAATATTAGCAGAAACGCTATTCGTCACAATTATCTGGACAATGTAGAAGTTAATATGAATGGAGGGTTACAGCAGGTGCTCGTCAATCTGCTAATTTAATTTGTGAAATGCTCGGCGGAAGTCATTTATGGCATTCAGAGTACAATTATAGTCGCTAGTGGATTAATTTTAATAATCCTGGCGGTAATGAGTTCAATAGAAGTTTATTGCAATGGCGTAATGAGCGTGAATTAATCGATTGGTTCGACTGCCCCGAGGTGCTTCTGTTTGTAAGTACCGTTTTCCTGGAGAGAAAATTGTATAAAAAATTACAGTATTTTTGTGGAATTTTTACCTCACATGCTGCCGAATTTTTGGATATGTTGTATTTTTTTTTAATCCAGAGAAATGACGCCTTCAATTGGAATAAAATTATTTGTTTAGAATTTGCCGTTCGTTTCAACAATATTTTTGTTGGGAATTAATAAGCTTACGTATTCATTTCAAAAAAAAAAATTTAATAACACAAACAATTAATACTATCATATCTTGGGAAATTCTTAGAAAAAGTACTCTCCGTTTTGCAATTTGTGGCATTCAGTGTAAAATTGTAGTCATTACTGTATTAATTTTAATAATCCTGAGTTTGATGGAGTTTTATTGCAAAGCGTATTGAGTGTGAATTAATCGACTGGTTGGACTGCCCCGAGGAGCTTCTCTTTGTAAATAATTTTTTCCCAGAGAGGAAATTCTATAAAAAATTACAATTTTTTATTACATTTTTATCTCAAACGTTGCCTTTTTCTGATCGTATTATATTTTTTTGATCCAGAGAAATGGCGCATTCAAATAGAATAAATTTATTTGTTCAATAATTTTCCGTTAGTTTCGACAATATTTTTAATGGGAAGTAATAAACTCATTTATTCATTTACAAGAAAATATGTTAATTACACGAAACGAGTGATTTATTTATTCCAAATGAATTTAGTTGTGAGTAAAGAATATCATGAGAAATTAATGAATGTCATTTTTTTACTGATCATTTCGATTCTATCGATGGCCTTTGCTTCGAAATTTCAAGGAATTTTGGTATTGAAAATTCATAATTTTATGGAGACATCCGTGGGAACTGTAAATTTCAGTTTAATTATTCCGGGGAAATTAATGAAAAATCTGTGGAATCTCCCCTCACAGAAAAATTTATATTTTGAAAAATATATAAAAAAATATCGTACATTGGCCCATATAGATTTTTCAAATATATTTTTTGATAGGGTCTCCCTAAATTCCAGATTCCTCTTAATTTTCAGTGAACTCCGTAAAAACTCCTGAAATTCCAAAAATTTTAAAGGAATTCCCTGAAAAT